AGGAATTTGATCACTACCTGGCGATTTATACTGTTTCAATTTTGCAATAGCACTTTCAACCTCAAAAGGGCTAGGATCCGGTATTAATGGCTCAGCTGTATGGATTTCTGTCTGCCTAACACCACTGACCCTATGTACATTCAATAACTGAGAGAAGTAGTTCCTCTACCTATTCAAAATGTTGTGGGAATCTGCAAGCAGATCACCATTCTCATCCTTCACCAAGTTACTGCTAGGCTGGTAACCCCTCTTAAAGTCATTTATTCCTCTATACAGGTCTCTAATGTTCTTGTTTTTACTGTTCATTGCAAGCTCATCAATTTTGGCTTTCAGATATTCCTTCTTTTTGTTCCTGAAATGCCTGCTGGTTTCACATCTTATATTGTTCAGATTATCCCCATTTAACTTGCTTGGATCCTGTAACCATTGCAATTTGGCCTGCTTTCTTTGATCTAATAATTTTGAGCATCCTTCATCGAACCATGGCTTATGCTTCTTCAGTTCATAATAACCTAGACTCTCTTTGGCAGACATTTTTATATTCTCTCTAATAGTTTCCCAAGCTTTATTAACATCCACCTCAGTTTCAAAGTTTTCCAAAGCTGTGAACCCTCTACCTCATTTAATTTCTTGAGATTGAACCTCTCCATATGAACTCTGTGCATTCTTTGTTTGCTCACTGCCAGTCTGCCAGCCGCCTGTTCAAACTGGGACTAATTGATAGTCCCACTTGTGAGAGGTGTCAAGAAGAAAATGAAACAGTCACACATATCCTGTGTGCCTGTGAGGCCTTAGTTTATTTAAGACTACGTCACTTGGGTCAGTACTTTATGGAACCAAGTGACTATTTTGATGCCCCCACGTACAAAATCCTGCGCTTCATTTGAAGCGCAGGATTGCTGACGGGATAATCAACAAAGGGGAAGCACAATAGACCACTATAGGTCGTGGTGCAAGGGCGAAAAGGCCTACCCCTCATACATTCATTCATACTGTAATTATATACAAGAAATGTGTACACAGTTCTGGTAGGATTCCTCTTGTAAAACAACCATCTCGAAGACTGAGAAGGAAAGTACAGGTTAATGTTAAAACATACTTCAGAGCTGGCTCCAGTTTTGGTATTAGTGGTGTTTAATATTCAGACATTTGTAATGTTTTTCATTTGTATATGCAGGATATCTGCCGATGTTCTGTTTTCTATGCAGACCAAATGAGTGAGAAAGTAGAAGGAATGGGAGAGAGTCAAAATGTGTATGAGAAGAAGTTTGAGGTGACAAATGAGGTAAGGGACATAAATTACTTCCATGTATTAGGACAGCTGTGTGTAATTTAACAGTTTAGTTTCTGTAGAATTAAAACAATTATGGCTAAAATTTATGTAAAGCTGACAAACATAAATCTGACATCTGTGTCATAACTATCTCTTGATCTAGTATAAATCTGCACTAAAAATACCTTCATTCTATAATTTAGTATGGCTTCTTGCCCATGCTGCCATATAAATTACTTTACTTGTAGAGGATCTATAAAAAGTCAGTGGTTGAAATCATACTTTAATATTAGGATGTAAATATCAATTATGTGATTAAAATAAATTATAATCTGGTTTATACCTAAGGATCTTATGTCTGGACTTGCATTTAGTAGGCAGCTGGTATGAATTTGTCAATAACTTTTTATGGTTTCTCTCAGAGCTGATTCTGTTCCTGCACATAAAACAGGATTTTTTTTTCCACATCCCTTTCCCCTTGTCATCCTATCATCTGACATTATGTAACCTTCAATGTTAATACATCATCAAGGAGACTGGAAAGACTGTACCCCGTACTGTAGTACACGAAAAAGTAACCAATGGTCTTTTTAAGAAGTTTAAGATTGCTTAAAAACAGTAATAATGAAATGTAAACTAGTCAAAGTTTCATATATCAAATCTCAACAAATCTGTTAAAGATTTTGTGGGTAAATGGAAAACGCCAATTTGGTCTTATGTGAATTAGGTTTTATTATGAATCAATATGGTTGAAAATCAGAACTGTACGACAATTTCTGGTACACTAATTCACTCATGGAGCTGAGCCCTTCTTGAGAAGCCACCAATTGTGCAGTTACTCTAGAGCTTCCCAGCATTTTATGGAACTCAAAGGTTTATTACCGTGGTAACACGGTCCCTATCCTGAGCCAGATCAATCCAATCCATACCATTCTATCTCTCTAAGATCCATTTTAATATTGTTCACCCACCTATGCCTTGGTCTTCCCAGTGGTTTCTTTCCATCTGGTTTTCCACCAATATCCTATATGCATTCCTCTCCTCCCCCATTCATGCTACATGCCCTGCCCACCTCATCCTCCTTGACTTGATCATTCTAATTATACCTGGAGAAGAGTACACGTTATGAAGCTCCTCATTATACACTTTTCTCCAACCCCCTGTCACTTCATCTCTCTTTGGTCCAAGTATTCTCCTCAACACCCTCAGTCTATCTTCCTCCCTTAATGTGACAGACCAAGTTTCACACCCATATAGAACCACAGGCAAAATTATAGTTTCATACATTCTAATTTTTATGTTTTTGACAGCAGATGAGAAGAAAAAAGGTTCTGGACTGAATGGTAGCAAACATTACCCAAATTAAATCTCCTCTTGAATCAGGACTTGATTTGTTATCATTGTTCCCAAATATCTGAATTGTGTCACATTTTCAAAACATTTGTTACCTATCTTTATGTCCTGATTTTGTCCTGCATTTTGGTGATGAGACAGCAACATATACTTAGTTTCCTCTCAATTTCTGGTACAAGTACTTCATGTCTAATTTCAGAAATATCTAAAGACCAGTTTATGTGATTGGTTAGAAGTCCATTTATGACCTTACTGGAGATCAGTAACCTGGAAATCTAAATTGTCCAGTAACTTTTGATAAAAGTCCCCTTTAGTGATTTTCAACAATACCTGCAAAACAGTTCATGGGATACATGGAAAAGTTAATTCAGTGCCTTATTTTGCATCAACACTGCATAATATTGGTACTGTGTGTTAAATTGTAGTATAGGTATGCAATACCCAGGCATTGATAGTAGGTCAGAAGGGGGGGGGCAGGCATGACCTCCACACAAAGTGTTCTCTTCTACTTTGTAAAGGATGCAAAAAGGGAATTTAATAAATAACAGGTGCTGTAATGTAGAGCTGTGAAACTTTTTGCATTATTTGTTTCACTTCTAATTCTTCAGATCACAGAAACGTGTAAGAAGTAAATTTAATTTTATCATTCTTTCTCATTTCAGTGGTGTTTGGCAATAAATAACATTGATTATGTGCGGCAGTCAATTCAAGCCTTTGTTGGTGAATTAGGAATGGAAGAGATTGTAACATCCCTTGCTAATTTTCGAAGTCAGACAGAAGCTGATCATTGTCAAAGGACATTACAATTAGTCATTGACAATGCTGTTGATACAGTGGGCAACAAGATACTGGAACTCCTAGAAAAAGTTGCAGAAAAGGTAGGAAATTGATCTTGTAAGACTGTGCTCATTAACAATCCAACTTCTTGACAATTCTTCATCTAGATACATAACCACGTATTATTATTGTCATGCGTCACAGTGACTAAAGATGGGGTCCAGATTGGTAAGTGCATTTATTAACCACTTACAGATTATAAGTAATTATAGTGCCATTGTCAATTTACACACTACAAAGCACTACGCTAATCTCTTCAGTCTATCTCCACTAGTCTTCATGGATTATTAAATCCCTAAATCACCCATTCCCAATACCACTGTGCTACAGCACACAGTCTTCAAATCACACATTAAATCTTGCTGACCCCTTGTACTCTTCTGTACTCCTTCAGCTTACTGCCTGCTTGTTTGTTCGCATGCTTCTACCACTACTACTATTCGTAACTGCTTTGAACCCTCCTGGACTCTTACTTATATAACCATGGAATGGACATGCATCACAGGAAACACATCATATGATCACTAACCAGCCAGTCCATTGGTGCAAGTTGCATAGACATAGAGCAAACACATGTCACGTGACTGCTACCTACTGTTGGGTACAGACACGGAAAACATAGCTTCCTCTATTGTTGCATCATGTTGGACTATGTTTACAGAGCTGTTGACTGGCAATGCATTGATCAAATTCATTACATTATATTTCAGTCGCCAAAATTCAGTCCAGGGTTTCAGATGGTGAAACTAAAACAGAAACATAAGGGTTAAGATGAGTAACATAATTTTACACTTCCATTACAATTTTTGTAGATTTATTCATCATATTTACCTTCACAATAGTACAAATAATGGTTGCTGTCATTACTAAATTTTATAGAAGCATTATGCCACTGAAGACCATCCTGACGTATCTTCTAAATCTCTGTACTGAGTAATAACGTCTCCGTGAATGCTCAATCCCGCTTAGTAAAAAGTACACCAGATGTTAAATTGGGACCCTTGTCACCGTGATATGGTGTGTCCTGAGACCGCTGATGGAGGAAATGGCCTCCAGATATTGTACATCTCTGCAGCTAGGATTTAACAGAAGTCATAAACAACTCAGTCACTGCTTACATAACTTGAGTTGCTGAAAAAATGATGAACACATAAGTTTCCTGTGATGGTTGGTTACTACTTCAGTAAAGAATTTATTTTTATTAGCTTATTCAGTCTCAGCTTCATAATTCCAAGAAAAATGAACCCCTTTATAATACTGTCACAATTTTAGTGACTACAGATGGGGTTTGGATCAGTAATCGGATTTACCGAACTCTTGCAACTTGTAACTACAAGGAAGGGTTATGCTCTCACTGTTCTACACACTTCACATTACAATAGGACACACTAGGTTTTCTCAGTCTGTTAAGAGTGCTTCACTAGCCATCGCTTGGTAGCAGCATCAAACAGCGGATATGCCACTTCCTCTGGGCTCCTGACTGTCCCTGGTCTCAGCGTCTCCCAGCAACAGCTCACAACAACTGAACCCCAGCAGTTATCCAACTCACTCACTGCTCCAACAAGCCAAGTCAAAGTTATGTTATGACTGACGGTCAGTCGGCTGGTCTGTCTTGGTGTCAAGCACTCATCTGGGGCCCCAAGACCAGATTTTATTACTCTCAGACATATGTGGGTTTGCTGATGTGGGGCGCCCTCTCCTATGAGTGGACAGATCTGTTGTTTACAACTGCTGCTGTCCCTCACCATGGGAGTCATATTTACCAGTTATGAAATCCAGCAACCATTTTGCTTCATGAGTTTTAATACAATTTTTGTGATGGCCATTATTCTGTCTTCTTCTGGCTTGGCGCAACCATTTTGCTTCATGAGTTTTAATACAATTTTTGCGATGGCCATTATTCTGTCTTCTTCTGACTTAGTCCCATCGAGTTCTGTCATGATCTGCTGAAATATCACTGTGACTACCATGAACATGTTGTACACAGATGAACTGTATGCATTAGGAGCCTGAACTGAGTGACTTGGTACTTGTTGTTGGTTGGCCTCAAGAGGTGGGGGCACTCATTTCACCTCCTGTGGTAGGGCAGGTATAGTTCGCTTGCAGACTACAGGCCACGGAGTTCGATTTGTTTCATGGTAGGGCAGGCCTACGTAACTGTGGGTGGCTGAGGCTGCTGCTGTGTGTTGCTGCATAGCACCACTGAAAAGGACTGTTTTCGGGTAGTGTGACTGGAAGAGAACATACTTCCCATTAAACTCTTTAACAATCTCTGCAACTTTTGCTTATGCATCTCTTCCTTGGCGTGCCTGCAGCCTCGACAGTTGGAGGGATGAGGTTCCTCTCCATCCACCAACTTGCAGTTGCCACTCCTGCAGCAAAAAGTCAAAGTCAAAGCTACTTTATAACTAGTGGTTTACCACCAGTTTGTCTTGGTGTCAAACTCCTTGAGGGTCTGACCAGAGATATTTTTTTTGCAACTGAACCCTTGCTGTCATAGTCCTTATGTAACATCCTTTTTGATGAGAGGACGGGTTTATTTCTTATGAATATAACTTACCTTTGTCAAGTGCACATATAGCATGTTACTGAAAATCCTTCCTCTTGCACTATATAAAAGACCCACATATATACAGGTGTCTTCAGCAAGGAGACCTAGATAGACACTAGGTGTTTGGGGTGTATCACTTACACATATATATGCAGTAAAATGTGGGGGACAGGATGGAACCTTGTGGCACCCCTGCTTGTATATCACTTGGTGCAGACATTTCATCTATGAAGAAGACTCTGAATTTTCTCTGAGAAAGAACAGGGCTAATAGGCTTGATTAGACTGATAAAAAAAAAATTAAATTAAATTATTTATATAGCAAGTCAAGGTACCATGTTGTATCAAAGGCTTTTTCAATATTTGAGAATACCACAACCAGAGACACGTTACTCTTAAAATTTAATGTGACGTGATCCATAAGCTTCCTACACTGAAGTGTCATGCTGTGACAGGGGAAACCAAACTGGCTTGCATGAAGCTGGCCTCTTCCTTCAATGTGTCTTTGGGCTATTTTTGGAATAACTTTCTCAAATAGTTTGCCTGTTGTAGACAAGAGACCAAGCGGATGTAAATTTTGAGGGAATTTCATGTCCTTACTGGATTTTGGTATGCTACAAGTTTTGTTCTTTTCCAAGGCTTTGAAAACTGGGACAGCCAAAGGCAGTGATTAAATAAATGTGTCAGATGTACCGGCGGTCTTCTTTGAATGTGCCTGAGGCATTCATTTGGAATACCATCAAGTCCACAAGCCTTTCTCAATTTCAATGAATTTTACTAATTTATGTCACAAGGTCTTACTTTTCCCAGTGGGGTGTCATCTACAGATGCAAGCACAGCTTGGACTCTAAGTCTCCACCTGTTGTTCATGGTTTTCATCACACAGGTCATCAGATGTGAAATGGTTTTCTACACAATTCACAATCATGTTGGATTCCTTCTTCAGGTGGTATGTCATTCCTAAAGGTCCATGAACAGCAGCTGGTGCCTTTGGTTCATTAACTTTTCATAAATCATTTCACAATAGGCCGCAGAGCCTACTTTTCTTTCCCACTGTTCGAGTGCCTTTCTATGGGTCATTCCTGATGGTCTTGGTAACCCCATTAACTGCCGTTTTACATGCTGGATCCTAGGTTACTTGTCAGATTTTCCTTAGCCTCCACTTATGTTTTAGCTAACTGGCCCTGCTTATAACATCTTGGCATGGACTGCGTAGAACACACTGCTTCCATTATTGCTGTATTCTCTTGCTGATGTGGAGACATGCTTGTCTACAGAGCCATTTCCTAGCAGTGGCTGTTGTATAGTTGCTTATTTTGTGGTTGTTGCCCAGCAACGAGTCTATATGCCACAATATTTGTGTGTGCGCTTGTTCCAATCTAAAATAAAAAATATTAAAGTATACATAACCAGAATTTAGTCTTCTCTTTTGTATAAGTGTGAATTTGTTAATTTTTAGAGGTCATGGTTTACTTAATGACATGGTCAGTAACTAATAGTATGGTGATGAACTGTGGGCTAATTAGTGAGTAATGAACCGGAAAGAATGTGGAAGGAAGCAGTCATGGTCAAGTTGAAGTACTATCCTGGTGTTTATGCTGATCATACTGGCTGCGTGGTCTAAGGCAAGAACTCTCTTTGTTCAGTCAAACACTGGGGTCATGGGTTCGAATCTCACTTGAAGCATCGATGTTTGTGTTTATTCTGTTTACATTGTACTATATAGGTAGTGACCTTGCAGTGGGCTGATCCCCAACACACGGAGCCCTACCAACTATCTATGATTAAGAAACTGTAAAATATAGGCCAGTGTTAATCATGGACTGTAATGCCCACAGATGAAGACTGCTGCCACCAACCCTACCCTCCCAACATTTACCCAGTAGGACTGAGGAAAACCATGAAAAATTTCAATCAAAGCAATCCATGTCACAGCCATCTCCTACATATAAAGTGTTACTGCTTCAGCTGGCATGAGTACATGGGGTTACTGACAGTCGATGTCAACAACAATATCACTTGAACCAACCTGCTTGGTGTACAAGTGTAAAATTTGTTCACTCACATTAAGGGAAGAGAGTAAATTGAGGGTATTTGGAAACAGAGTGCTAAGGAGAATGTTTTATTCCAAGAGGGAGAAGGCTGAAGAAGTTACACAGTGGGGAATTTAGTAATTGGTATTCTTCACCAAATGTTATTAGGATGATAAGAAAGCATGGTAAAGATGTGAAGTATATACAAAATCTGAGCTGAAAATTCTCTAACAAGTGAAGTTAAACAAAAATTAAAATCCAGGAATGAACTGTGCTGATTAGTTACTCTTTAATATAACATAATGCATTCACAGATGGCACCAGCAATCAATAGGTTCTTGTTAGAGGGAGCTGAGCTACTCCAACAAGAAAACAACTGCATGGATCGACTGATGAAATATCTAGATGACAATCTGTTGACACTCCATTCACACCTCAACACAGATAACTTCAGTCGTATCCTGGCCATCATCTGGGAGAACCTTTCACATACTATGTACGAACTCGTTGAAAGCAACCTAGAGGTAAGTTTAAAACTCATTACATTATTCTGTTTTCTATGTAGGTCCTCCTAGGTCTCCCATCTCAATCAGTGGACATCAACACAGAAACTGAAACTTGCATCTAATTTCAGTGTATTTCTTGATGTCTATAATAGTCTAAAATTAGAGCTGGCTACCACAATAAGCTACACAGGGCTTGAATAAACAGGTAACTGCTGGAAGCTAGTGTGCTCTGAGATTGCTGTGCACTGAATAGAGGAGCCTTGCAGAAGAGAGGTAGAACTTTGAAACCCTGAACATTAGAACTTATTTTTGATTTGTTTCATTCTGGTCCATCACACTAACAATATTATAAAAAGTTAAACACTCCATCCAGTGTGACTGGTGAAGATTTTTCTTATTTCAATTCTTCATGCCCTTACATGTTTCAGTCTTTAGAGACCACCATCAGAGGGACATCAATACAGTTTGAAGCTACTATTACAATATATATGTTCTGAGCATTAAAATATACATATAATGTTTATAACATATGATTTGATATGAAATCTAAAGTTTTTACAACTACAGTGGCTGTCTTAATATATTATTATTATTATTTTGTAATTGGTATGTTAAGATTTTGTTAGAATTTATAAACCAAGTAGGTTCATGTCCTCTTTCTTATTACTTCTCTTGATGGGGGCCGAACGTGTGCCACCTTGTCATTCTTGAGAAGAGGGTCCATACTGGTGGCGTTTTTCTGCTTTCATTTACCTACACGAAAAATCACAAAACCATTAAAAACACCAACATAAATATAGCCTTCAATTCAACTCACACTATAGGTGAACTAATAAATGAAAAACAAGAAACAAACGCCTATGATGAAAGTGGGATATACAAAATAATATGCCAAAGCTGCCATAAAGTATACATCGACCAAATTGGTAGAAATCCAACAAGGTACAAGGAACACATAAGAAACATCAGACTAAACAAAGCNGTTCATAGGGGTTTGTTTCTCGTTTTTCATTTATTAGTTTACCTATAGTGTGAGCTGTTTTGAAGGCTACCTTTATGTTAGTGTTTTTTTTTCTGCTTTCATTTACCTACACGAAAAATCACAAAACTATTAAAAACACCAACATAAATATAGCCTTCAATTCAACTCACACTATAGGTGAACTAATAAATGAAAAACAAGAAACAAACGCCTATGATGAAAGTGGGATATACAAAATAATATGCCAAAGCTGCCATAAAGTATACATCGACCAAATTGGTAGAAATCCAACAAGGTACAAGGAACACATAAGAAACATCAGACTAAACAAAGCTGAATCGGCATTTGCCCAACATATACTAAACAAACGCCACCAGTACAGACCAATGACAGTAATCATGGAAATGGTTTAGAATGCCAAAAAAGGGAGCATCATGAATATAAAAGAAAACTTCCATATATATCACTTTAATAAGCTCAACAAATTGATAGAAGAACAAAAACACACAAAGGAAAGTAATAACCAGCATAACATGTTCGACATCATAATACAACATCAGTACACGCCCACACTATCGTCAGAGACACAAGGAGTATAAATACGCAGCACAACACACCCTAGAACAGTACAAACAACACAGCGCACCATGAACACCCACAGGACAACATCAAAGGTAGGACTAAACGATAAAACTCTTAAAAAAACATAATAAGGTTGCTGAAATAATACAATATTCATTCATTCATCAGTAATGTCAGACGACAGGTCCACAGTCTCTTCCAAAACAGTTCCTCTACTTAATGCGATCACAAGCTTTCTCCTTCAAATAAAAATATCCTCTTCTGTCCCCAAGGTCATCCAGCATCTTCTTACGTCTTCTGGTCACTTCTATCCGCCTCTCCCGTTTATTTTGTTTCCACAGGAAACATCTTGCATACATGATATCCCTGTTTTTGGAAAGAGACTATATACAATATACCAATAATATATTTGCAGAACCCTCTTCTCAAGAACAACAGGCGGCACATGTTTGGCCCCGTCAAGCGAAGTAATAAGAAAGTGGACATGAACCTACTTGGTTTATAAATTCCAACAAAATCTTAACAAACCAATTACAAAAACAAAAAATTAATATATTAAGACAGTGCTGTAGTTGAAAAAACTTTAGATTTTATATCCAATCATATATTATCAACATTATACGTATATTTTAAGACTCAGAACATATATTGTGTTGGTAGCTTCCAACTGTATTGATGTCCCTCTGATGATGGCCTCTGAAGACCAAAACATGTAAGGGCATGATGAACTGAAATAAGAAAAATCTTCACCTGTAACAATGGACAGAACTGGTTAACTTTTTATAATTAAAAATTATGTTTTACAACTGAGAAGAAGAAACTGAAGTAGCTGTGACAGTGATGGTTGGTGACTTTTATCATCATCAGTCATTGCCACTCTCATCATCATCATTCTTGATGATAACAGTGCTCTGTTCTAACATCTAGGAAAATCCTTGATGCAGTTACCTAGTCAGTTACAATCATCATCTTTTACAAAATACTATTATCATAACATAAAAGTAGATAAAATACAATTATATTTTTTCCTTCCAGAGGAAAAGACCACCAACTTTCTTCTTGAATCTTCATGAAACTTTAAAAATACTGGTTGGATTTTTCAAACAAGGTGATGAAAAGAATGACACAAACAATCCAGCAATTCTGGAGCAGATGGAGCACTTGCTTCAGCTGTATGGGATGGAAACATGGGAACTAATTCATCAGTATCACTTGGAACGAAGAGAAGAGCAGATGGCTATGGAAGCAGCCACTCATGGCCTTCTTACAGTTAGAATGCAATTTGTTGAGGATCTTTTGAGGATAGAGGTACTAAATGCTAGAAATCTTCACCCTATGGACACCAATGGTAAGAGTATATTCATAAAAGCTACTGATAGGGATATAATTAGTATTTTCATGCTGCTGAATTCCCCTTTAAATGTATACAACTTTCTGTAGGATCTGGTGTTTTCATGGGGGTACAAACTTAGACTGGTAAGGTGAGCTGTGACACCATGTACCTGTTACCGATTTTTCAGAGGAATCGGCTACCATCATTTTAGGATGGAATTGAAGACAAAGGCAGAAGCTTCTTCTAATACATTGGTGATACAGAGAATATAACACACTATCACAACCCAGAAGACTACAATAAAAAATGGTTCCTTCTGTGACTGATGAATGGGCATAACATAAACTTGATTGCACTAATTATTCAAGACTGTCAACATACAAAATAACAGTTCAAAGTCAGACTTAAAACTGCACTTGTAAAGCAAGAAAAGGAACCACTATGCAGCTTATGTAGATAAAGCACAGTGCAGCATAAATCAGTGTGAACACATTCCATCCATGAATTCATCTCTTAAATGCCATCTGCTTTTACACTTTACTGTAATTTCCCATTTGTTGTGTCAAATATATACAAGGTAATTCATGAGTCCCTGGAATTTCCAAACTTGGCAGCGCAACAAACAAGACAGACACAGCAAAAAGGAGGATATCAATAAGTAGAGAATCTCTCAAAGTTTGTTTGGGTAACAGACATCAAGGCGTACTTGCAACTTTCACGTTAGGGGGCAGTCGTGATGAAATATGGCGAGGATAGGGGAGTAAAAAGCGTTCTGGGTCTTGGAATTTGCCAAAACTGGGTCAACTGTGATGGTGCAATGGAAGTTTTGGACCAAGTACCATACAGAACCACCTACAAACAAAAGAATTCATGAGTGGTACAAGAATTTCCAGCAGAATGGCTGCCTGTGTGCTGCAAAACGTACAGACTAGCCAGGGCCATCGGCTAAGACTGTCGAGTATGTGTGAGAAACTTTTGTTAGGAGCCCTTCGAAGTCAACATCGTGCAAGCCAGGAATTGCAGATGCCTCAGTCAAGTGTCTGGTGCATCCTGTGCCACACTTCCATTTTGACTTCCTGTTAGATTGGGTGCACTTCTGACAATGACTTCTTTGGCCTCCAAAGTCACCTGACCTGTGATTTTTTCTAATGGGGGTTATATCAAGGATCATGTGCACATGCCACCTATGCCACATGATTTACCACAGCTGTGATAAGGGATTGTGGAGGCAGTCTCTGCTATTGACTGCGAGATGTTGCACCATGTGTGGCAGGAACTTGATTACAGGATAGACATCTGCCACGTCACTAAGGACGGATATATCAAGCACCTGTAGGGTAGGACAGAAATGTGAAGTGTCTATCCCTCTGGTGACATGTTTAGAGGCCTGTCAGCATTGATGGCTATTTGTGCCTGCACAGCGTTCAAAGCAGATATTTTAAAGGAATCTAGAACATAATTAAGCCTAACACAGATCTGTGTGAGACTGTAAAATGGTAAATAGGTCAGTAAGAGAAATAATAGAGGTTCTTTATAACAGACTCAATAAAGCTGGCTGTGTATAGGCCAGTAAACATCCTGAAACAATAATGAGCATATAAAGGCTCAAGTTGGTGCCAAAGGGGCTATATAAAACCATGAATAAGGTAACTTAGGACAAGCACTATTAATATTCTACCAACAAAAGTTCAATGAAATGAGAGGTAATTAGGCCAGTTCAAGATAATGAGTCTGTGATGGCTTGGGCTGGATTTAAAAGGAAAATGGTTAAATAAACTTGTCAACCCCTGTACAATGAAGGAATGCCACAACATTGGACAGCTTAATGCGATCATCTCTGAGGATACTGTGCAATGTGCCTCAAAGACAAAATGTACAATGATCTTTCTCACAATGTGGGCATTCCAAAAGTATATGAAATCATACAGAACAGACCACAGCGCACACAGACAGGAGCTGGGTCACTTTGTAACAAGTGTCCATGCGTCAGGTGAATGCGCCCAGTTAGAAGGTGCATGAGCAGGACCTCCTCTTTTTGAATTACTGTTTGAAGAGACAAATTATGAAAAACAGACAACATACAAGAAAAATTCAGACGTAGCAAATAAGTATCTGATCCTGCTCACATAATGGGATGTGCCATGACACCACTAACATTTGGAGCAAGAAGGAAATGTAGGAGCCACAAACAGGAGAGCAGATAACAGGATTTTTTCAGTCTCTGATACAACATATTAGTTGAACTATCCCTTTCCAAGAACACCAGACATATCCTACAGATGAAAACTGAACTGCCAATCGAAATATGGTAGGTTATTTTGAAGAGGTGCAATTCAGTATAATGAAAAGAGCAATGAATTTTGAAGTACGTATGTGATAAGTTGTCACTAATCAGCTTGACATTCACTATTGGTCTGTGTTTAGGTATAAACAATTATTTTTCGTAAGTACTAATTGTAAATAGTGCCTGGGCATGAATCTCTTAAGGTCTACTGGAAATTCTTGTAAAACTTCCAGCTGCTGTGATTTTCTCTGACTTGTTGGTATATTAATGTTTTAAAATCTTTTATTTATGGTAGAAATTTGCAGGTATGAATTCTATACAGTGGAACCTCACTTAATGAGCACCTCTCATAATGAGTAATTTGCATAACGAGCAAAACAAATTGTAAAAAAATGACTCGCTTAACAAGCGATGTTTCACATAACGAGTGACAAGAGGGGAAGTCCTGGATTGTGCACTTGCTACATCAGTCTGTGTTTAGCATTCGTTCCACTAGCATTTTAGTGTCGCTTGTGATCACACATTTTTCCAAACTTGTGTTCAGACATATTATTTGTGACTTTTTTTGTGCAAAGTTTAATAACCCTTGCAAAAATGTTCCAGAAGAAAAAGACACAAAAAGACAGCCATAAGAGAATAAAAATAACCATAGAAATGAAACGTAAAATCATTGAAAAGCGAGAACGAGGTGTGAGCGTGGCTGATCTAGCACGCACATACAATCGGTCTACATTAACGATTTGCACGATTTGGAGTTGCATTGTGTTTCACAGCAAGAAGTTGTGGAGGAGAGTATGTCAGAGGAGGAGGAGGTGGAGGTAACAGCAAAGCAACAATCTTCTGGCGCAATAAGAGAAATGCTGAAAGCATGGGAAACTGTTGCACTGTACATTGAGAAGCATCAGCCTAATAAGGCAGTGGCTATGCGCGCTACAAATTTATTTATTGATAATGCTGTGTCACATTTTCACCAAATTTTGAAGCATCAACAAAAACAAATGTCTCTAGACAGCTTTCTAGTAAAAAAGAATTAGATATGTATCATAAATAATAAACTAATTATTTTGATTTTTTTTTCTACAAATCGAATTCACATTCCAGGTTGGTTCATTCCACATAGAAGAAAAGATGAAGATGATTCATGCTCCTTAACAATGTATATAGAATTTTTTTTTGAATAAACGTTATACATAAATTTTTTTGAGTATTTTTTTGGCATGGAATGCATTATTGTATTTTACATTAATTTATGTGAGAAAAATTGTTTCACTTAACAAGTGTTTCGCATTACGAATAAAATTCTGGAACGAATTATGCTCGTTGAGCGAGGTTCCACTGTATATACTTTTCTCTGCACTAAAGTGGACAAATAAATTTGTAAGATAACAGGCATTTTTGTATGATGTAAATCTTGCTATGATAATAGTATAAGGCTATTGACCATACACATATAATGAAAAAGGTGATTGTTTTATAAAACACAGAAGCAACAGTCAGGGCAGGTCAAGCAGTTACTGCGGTCTGCTATGATTTTCATTTATTAGTTATAGAAAGTCATAAGCATATAATGTACAACTTAAATTTCCAGGATCCTGTGATCCATATGTGAAAATTCATCTGCTACCAGAAGAGAAATTCACAACAATAACAAAACCAAGGACTAAAACACACAAGAAAACGATGTTCCCGCTCTATGATGAATATTTTACTTTGTAAGTATTTCATTTTTCAAGCATTAATATAAGATAATAGTTTGTTAGTTAATTCCTGTTGCTCCCTCTGGAGCATAGGACATCTGTGAAATGCTTCCGCCAGATTCTGTCAACAGTATTTCTTTTAATCTCACTCTATGTCTTCCACAGTGCCATGGTATCTTCCTTTACCATCCTCTTCCAGGTCTTTTTGGGATGGCCTTGCCTTCAAGCACCCTAGTGGCTCCAAATATAAGATATGAGTATATTGACAGAGCATGATATTATGCTTTCACAGCAACTGTATGCAAATGACTCTTCTCTTCAGGCAATCAGCCATGAGAAGGTGGAGTACTCACTGTTCTGGAGACTGTCACTGTTTCCATCATTTTGCATTGATGTAAGGGGTCATACACTGTATATATACCCACAGAACATGCTCTCAACTGTCCCACAAAGGATGCTGATGTAACAATGGGCAGAATCACATAGTTAGTTGTGCCCTTCCCAGTGCAGACAACTGAGGGATAAGTGTATTGTGATGCTTGACTGCCTGACTACGCCCACTCTTCCTCATCTGAACAGTCCATAGTGGGACAGGTGACCACTGAGTTCTTGGCTAAACTCGCTGTTCTCTTAATGGTCTGCACCAGGATAACTGAGAACATACTGTGTTGGTATAAATATGTGTCTGCCTCATTCATATCAACTCCTGAAGATGGAGACAGACCATTCTCTGAAATGTTGTATACTAACTCCATCTTCACACAGCTGATGGCCCAAGAAAACTTCACTGTATACAGAAAGAGTGTTTTCTCTTGAAACTGAAACATAAAGTTTTCATTAATTTGGAATGCAGTTCTTACCCATTACATTTTATGAGAACATATCTATTATTGATTATATTGTGACATACAGATCCACTGCTAGGCAACAGTTTGATAAACACCTCACAGAGACAGATTCTGAGTAAACAGCCCATTGCTAGGTAATGCCTACAACATTACATGACAATAAGAGGACATCCAATGCTAGACAATGGAAATGTTTTCCATGAGGTCAGACCCGACACGCCTGGTTCCGACAGCAGCCCAAAGAATTTTATGCTGCTGGTTTTCAGGAGCTTGTGAAATGATGGGACAAGTGCCTCAATGTACAGGGAGATTATGCTCAGAAATAAAAGCATTTTTCAAATCAGTACTCTTATTTCTTTAAGTTCTATATCCATTTGTAACTTACTTATTGACTTACCTACGTACCATGTAATGAGTGCATACAAGTGACATATAGATAACACTACACACATTCTTAAACAAGGCACAAGATAGTGCTTTAACTTTCAGCCAGTTATATGATGAAAGAGTACATTAGACAGGAGATTTGGTGGATCCATGATGGATGTACTGAGGAGAAAAATCCCACTGTACTTGCTTTCAATTAAGTCTCATTTTTGTAACTATGAAGGGACTAATTTATGATTCCAGACACCTAACTTCTGAGCAGCAAGAGCTCGAGAATGGGTTGATTATGTTCACAGTAAAGGATCAAGACTTTCTTGGAACGAACGAATTCCTTGGTGAAGCATTTGTAGCATTTTCTGATGTTCCAAAGACTGATATGACAACTGGGCTTGAACAAATGGCACAGGTTCATCTGAAGCTTAGCAGACCAACACGGCAAGGTCAGTATCAGGGATAAGCTAGGGTAAGAGGGCCAGATTTTGAGAAAAGAAATTCAGATACTTATTGAAATACTACAAATATAAAGCGAAAATTTTTGCTTCATAACATAAGGGGGTTGAATGATCAGTATGCCAAGGACCCTGAGAGCTATACCAGCGGTAGCGTAGCTACTGGCAGGGCCTCCCTTGCTGGACAGGTCAAAGGGTAGGCATCAGACGAAGAGAGACACCAAAAACCAAAAACTGATGCCGGAAGCAGCGTCATCAGCAGCGACTTGAAGCACAGAGCAAATGATGCTCGAGATGGTTCAAGTTCGTATAGCAACAGGCGTGACCAGAGTGGTTTGAACGGCTGCTGTACTGCGATGTGGAAAGCAAATGGAAAAACTACCACATTATCACTTTTCCTGGATAGTCTCTTTCCAAAAACAGAAGATCACATTAAGTGGAGGAACTGTTTTGGAAGAGACTGTGGACCTGTCGTCTGACAGATTACTGATGAATGAATGAATGAACATTCATTACCAAGCAGCTGAATTCCAGTTTAAGCCTGTAGGTCAAGCAGGTGTGTCTAAAATACTACAAGTGATTTCAATCGCAGAAACCAACATCTATTTGGTACGTAAGTCTGAATGTCCATAAACACTGTTACTGCTGAAACTGTTATCTGTAAAGATTCTGTTGAGACTGATTTTAGTACAATGACAAAATGACATAATATTGTGACATGTCAGCCGAAAGCTCAAAATATTGGAGCCAGCAGAGACAGCTATTGCATGGTAACAGCTCAATAAACATATTTCTGCGGCAATGAATAACCACACAACAGAGGAATTACTGGAAGCAGTGTTATGTGTGTGGTCTGTGTCAATGTTAAGGAGAACTCAAGGGGTTACATAAGTTAAGCGATGGAACATAAAAATCAATGAAGATATGATTCAGGCCATTTAGTTTTCTCACAGACATAGGCCCCTTGAGGCTCATCTTAAAATGGACAGAATATCGTCTTCATCAACCAGATAAAATATCTACGTGTAAATTTTGACAAGAGGATTACATGGAGACTGCACAAAGAAATGACTAAAGCAAAAGCCTTCAGAACATTTATAAGAATCTACTCCTTATACAAAGATGAGTGTTTAAGCACCAACATTTAAAGTAACCTTCCATAAAACACTGATCAGATTAGTTATGACTTATGCTTGACCCACCTGGGAATTAGCAGCAGACACCCACCTCTTAAAAGTGAGCGTTTAAGTACAAATATGAAACTTCCAATTTACAAAGCTCTGATTAGGTCACATTGGTTCATGAATTGCATGTGGCTTTCAAAATTCCTTACATGTACGACTATGTAACTAAACTGGGCAGTACACAGGCAGAAGTAATCCTACAACACATAAATCCAAATGTACCTGGTACAAGATATACAGAGATTTTCTGTCAATGCAGGTTTCTGCAGCAGGTTATGCTGTAACTTATTTAACCACTCCAAAACTGCAGTTAGTCAGCTGATCAGTCACAGGTCTGACCACCACCAAGTGTAAGCCCCTTGTATGAGGGCTATTCGGAAAGTAATCTCCAGTGAGTTGTTAACAAAACAAGCAATGGGAAAAAAATTTGATTATACACAAAAATATGTACATATCTAAGCTGCTTCTCAATGTAGTCACTGCCGGAACTGAGGCATCTGTCATATCAGGGAATATGTTTATGCATGTCTGCTGCCTGTGAGCTTAGCCACACTTTGATACCTTCCATCAACTCCTCATTATTGTTGAAGTGCTGTGATCTCGAACAGTTCTTCAGGTATGTACAAGTAAACAGGTGATAGTCGCTCGGAGTGAAATCAGGGCTGTAAGGAGGGTGGTGAAACAACTCCCAGTTGAAATGCATCAGCAGTGCTCAAGTGTGAGCAGCTGAATGACAATGTGCATTGCACAGAGGAGCACAACACTGGATGTCAGAATTCCCATGGCTCTACAAAACAGATGCCACCAACTTTCTGGCAGACACTGGTTTGACTTCTCTTTGGTTTCAATATTCACAAATGAAACCTAGGTTTCATCACCTGTTACTCATATGAAGTGACTGAGAAATTCATCATCTTTGTGGAATCACTATAAAAAGTGAAAGCTGAAGCCACTCTCCACATGTTGCATGCATCCATGAGCATTTTCAGAACCCAACTTGTGCAGAACTTGTGATAGCCTAGCCTGTGATAAAATTGTTGAGAACAGTGTGCGACATTTGTGGAATTTCAGACAAAAGTTCTGAAAATGTGTCTTTCACAAATTTTTTGGTCAACACTTTGAAAAAGATCATCACTCACTATAGAGCGCCAGGCGACTGCTTTGCTCTTCATCATGAACAATTGTTCGCCATCTTAGAACATTCTACACCACTGTCTTACGGTTCCTTCACTCATTACATTTTGGCTGTAAACTGCTGTGCATAATTCACGATGGATTTCTGCAGCACTCGTTATTTTAGCTTCAAGGAGGAGGATGACAGTGTGACATTTTGGCTGTAAACTGCCGTGCATAATTCATGATGGATTTCGGCAGCACTTGTTTTAGCTTCAAGGAGGAGGGTAACAGTGTGAATCCTACAGCTGGCAGGATTATCAATCACAGGACACATCATAACTCACTCTGCAGAGACAAGAACAAACATTAGGTGACCAGTTATGTGATGGTTTACAAGGCAATGAAAGACGTGAGGGTATCTCACACGCCTCAGGTCTCCTATGTTAGTTGCCTAAAATAAACAGAGATTACTTTCTTAATAGTCCTTGTACTTCTTGTCTGTATCTGCTTTGTGAAATATTAGAATCAAGAATTTCATAGTTATCAAACATACACATTTTATCATAGTTCGGTTTGGGCTTAAAAATTTCTGTACCATTCCATTTTCCCACTTAACTGTGCATGTAATTTTATACTGTAATGTAAAGTGGCAAATGTTTGGTGTACTTTGAAATTTTGAGTTGACGAGTGTTTTACATATTATACTTCTAAGGTCTGGGCAAACTGGACAACTCAAAGTTCTTTGATGATAAATATCAATAAAAGTCATGACACTTTTACTATGCTCAGAATTTATTCTCTTTTTAAGATTTGCTGAAATAAATTAGTAATCTTACTAATAAATTTAAATTATTTGAATTGATGTATCAGTCGTGGTAAACTAGTGAAATGAATGCAATTCATTCAAGTACCTTCTCCTACTTTATACATTCCACTTCTCAATCTTTTTTTCATGCCCTAAGCCAGAAAAACTGTCTTTCTAACATACGGTTTTGTTATACTCTGTGTTACACATTTCCTTTGTTCTCATTACAGATTCTGAAGTTTACAGAGCTTTGGAGAGTCGGCACGATAAATTGGCACGAGACTTCATAAAAAAGGAAAAACCAAAGTTTCTACCTAGCTAAGAATACAATCATGTCACATTTCGATAATTTCTTAAATTTCTTAAAGTTTCTGTTGTGATTATAGAGCAATTACTCATGCCAGTATTTATTTTATAACTGTAATAATTACCTAATGTTTATGCCTATGTTCAAATCATTTCATATAATAACACAAGCTTTGTACGAACTCAGCAGGAATTTGATGTTCAGAGTAATAGTCCTATCCTTTGGTAAGAAATGAATGTTCAAAGAGGTTTAAGAGGTGCTAGATGCCATATATGTATTTGCAGCTATTTCTTAGTCACGACTGAAGTTTACTGCCTTAAAATATATTGCCTTTTTTTTCTCCGATGTTTTTGTTTTCAAGAACATCAATGTCAACACGTCTAGAGACATGTGAGCTACTTACTTTAATTAGCTCACCCATAGTTTTAATCACATATGGGTTTGATGTTCATGCAAAACCAATCATCTTGAAGTATATTACTGCTCAGAAGTTCAGTTAGAATTAATGTGAGAATGTAATCAATACACACTAACACAAAATTGTTTTATGACAGAAATATTTGATATTTTCTAAATTACAGAATGCTAATACTGGGTTGAAGTTGAGAAGCAAAGAGAGAAAGTGTTTAATACCACATATCAGTGAAGTTTTCTGTTGTTACTGACGAGTATCCCAAATGGGAGACATTTCTAGTACTTATGTATCAGTAATATGCTAAGAGCTGTAACTTTCAGTGTTGCATCAGTACAGATTGCAGGTAAGCACCTGATTATGCAGTAGCTGCATTCCCATGATTGGTCACGTAACTCAGAATTTTTATTCCTTCGGTTTTTTATCTGCCTTTAATTTTCAAGGGAATAGAAGCAATTTAATACCATTAATTTTAGCCATCATGAATCCTATTTCTTGATGTAATTAATTTCTGGTCTTCACTAAAAGAATTGTTACAGAAACTCATATGAACTCACATTACTATGAACTTGCATAAGGCAGAGCATACATACATGATTATACCTAAAGATGTTCAGCACTCAATACATACAGTTAATAAAATATTTACAGTTCTACTTACCTTCTTGCCTCTTTGCCTCTTTGTTTCTTGTATATAAGACAGATACTTATGACTAGTTGTCAAATAATGATCCAACATTCTCAGGTACTGATATGATAACTTCATGCAGTAGATGAAATGTAAACTTGAGTTATATGTAAACAAAGTAGGTGAATGAATGTAAATATGGATGCCATATTAATTTCAGAAATATGAAATGCAATTCATTTTTATAATGGAAATTGTCTACTTTAGTCCCATTATGGTACATTAATTTTACACTGATAATTGAAAAAATGTTATATTTGACATGTATGTGTGGTAGATGCAAATGTTGGTAGCATAACTGAAGCCTTAATAAATCAAATTCCATTACTGTAATGTATTAACAGTGTTTTGTCAACCACATATGCTGTCGTTGTTGCCGTGATCATTGCACTCCATCAATGGTCTCATTACCACCTAAATGTTCATGGGAATGTGGTTCACTTGTGCCTATTCAAACATCACATTACTGCCACTTTACCATAAATACTGCGAACTAAGAACTGCATTAACACAATACTTCGGTCAGGCTTCTATTAATCAAACAATTTTAAGCCTTCACATTGCAGACAAAAACAATAAATCTGACTTCGGGTGTAAACAGTTTTATACCTATCATAGTGAAAATAAGGGCAGAAGGCACATTTCTTTTAGCAGCTCTTAATAATATAGTTTAACGCTAAGGTTATCATCTTCACCACTTTCTCCTTAACTAACTTCAATCACTTTATTTCATCTCATGCCAAAGACCCCCAAAAGAATTCAGCTTTCCTTCATTCGCTAACGCACTTAAAATTGTCCAACAATATTTCTACATGATAATAACGCTGAACTCTACGCCTCTTAAAGTCGGGTCCAGACTTGTTGCGTATCCCCGTATCGTATCAGTGTGGACGGTACCCCGTATCATCCTTCCGTTGGAAAATGATACGCAACGGGCTGTTCGTTCGCTTGGCGGTCTTTTCCCGTCGCATCAAAGGGACGACTCGGGTTGCAGTGGTGCCAGTCTGGACGTGTAGGCGAATGCATCGCGCTTTGCTTATCAGCTCCAGACAGTTGGCGTGTACTCATCACCAGTGGGCGTTCTTCTGTTTGTGATTCTCTGTTTATAGTATACTCTGAATGGAGTGGAGACACGCAACAAGTCTGGACCCGCCTTAACACTAAAATGCTGTCGGATTTTAACCATTCTCTCGATCACACACAGTCTTAGATCATGAACGATCATGAACAAGTACGTAGTACACCCAACGATGCAAAGCCAACAACCGCCCATCTATTGCAAAAGGTGTACTGGGATCTGGGATTGGGTCACACAAATGCGATTCGATATATTGCAATAGTTGAATTGTGGTTGGGTCTGACTATCTAGTTCGGTGCGTCTATGTAGAGATGGCAGGAGATCCTTTGTTTCCCCCAACCCCTATGGCAGTTGCAACTACCACCACTACAGTGCTGATCGCAGTACACGTGACCTCACTGAAGCATTGCTGATGCCATCTCTGTGCAGATTCGACAAATATAATATAGTAGTTGAATGGTGATTGGTTCCCGACCGGTAGCTGAATAGAGATGGCAGTAGGTAACAATTGCAAATGTCGCCATATCTGCTACGAGAGTCGTCATTGTTTGAGGTGGAAGGGGGAGGTACATATGGTACATATCAGGAGCATCAGAACGATCAGGACGTAGTTATATCACCACAGAAGTATTCTTCTGTTTACGTACTTCCATCAGTTAACTGAAGACACTTGTGACGCAAGTGAATACTAATTACTCAATATGTAAGACTATTGTGTTCAGATGGCTGTTGAAACTAACACCGATCTTTTCCAACCCTTTGTTTGAATTTCAGCTCAGTCGGAATGGTGCTATCCCTGCTATACTTGTTACCACCTTAGGACAGTGTATGATGGCCACTGCAAGTTGTCCTCACAGATCAAACTAAGGAAGATCGGTATAGGTACGGGAAACTAGCTGGGTCGGTTTGCATCAGTCTCAGGGTAGCGATGCCGAAGAAAGCGGTATTCTGAGAGTTGATCCAATTGACGTTTATTCCACCTTTTGTTCTCCAAACCACTGTTAAATTTATGTATCCTTATGCTTTAAGTAATAGCGTTACACGATCTGCAACCTATGTCTCGGAGCGTGCAAGGGTCACGTCCGCTCACTTCGGAATATGGTGAAAGTCTCCCTTTTGTGGAATGGCTTGCAAACCCCACGCCGGGAATTCGAAAGAATTCGAATTCTCCATGGTGTGGACATATACATTTCATTCCATCTTCCGTATGGAAGTTTGAACGAGGCAACTCAATCATACTGGCCCTCATTCACAGGCAACTGTAACAAGTTCTGACCTTCCTTTTAGGCGCATCCGGTTCCCTGTACCCGAGCTAAATTTATGACTGCTCGTAAATGTCAGAACTCCGGACTCCTTGGTCCTGCCAGAATCCTAAAATTTCAACATAAACACCGTATTGCACGTCCCAGACAATGAAATACGATATTATAGATCACAATAAAGTTCCAGTAATATCGAAACATAAGACTTTTGAAATTAAAAATTACCGAGAATTAACTAAAAATAAATTTCATGGTCATCTATAATCATCCAAATAAATAAGGGCTCAGAATGATCAGCGCCAAAACCTCATCTTCGTAGAACCCTTTGCCTCTGTGACATCGTAACAAGTTCATAAAGATTGGTTAAGGCATCCACAGGAACAGACGGCATGGAGATCACATAAGCCTACTTCCATTTTTTCAAATTAAGGGAAGTAGGCTAAAAAGAAAACATTCGTTACCCATGGCCACCATTGCAGAATTACTGAGCTAAAGAAATAGGAACACGTCGATGCAAATGGTAAATCAAAGTCCCCGAAACCCTTGACATAACACCGAACCAGCGACGTATGACACATAGCCCATTCTCGCACGCATACCGACAGTCTCCCTTCCCTGCAAAACAGGCCGAAATCGCAAGTAATTCTAGGCGAACTGATAAAAGCAACATTTCGCTGTCTCCACTGATACACTCCCTTTAAGCCAGAAAGAGATAACAAGGTGTTTAATCTGCGATCTGCTTGACATTCGGCGAGTGAAACATTTTATCAGGAGCTAAAGGATGTGTTGCATGATGGAAGAACATGCGGGGCTCTGAGCAATGCTTCATCCCTTCAGTCTTGCTTGTCCCACTAAATGAATCGGGGCAGGGTTGAGATTCAGATTCCAGCATCTTCGATTAAAGTGAAACATGACCAAACCTCTTTGATGGGCATCACAAAGAGAGCGGTCGTGTAACAAACATAATTTCATTTTATGGGCGTAATTCCCGAATTCCTAAGACTGCACATATTTCCGGATCATTTACCGGAACATGTGCACGATCCGTGACTCAGCATCGATCCAATTTTCCCTGCTCAGGGCCCCCTATTTTACAATTTTACAACAGAACACGGATATCAGCCTAATTTCTGTATCGTGCCATAACCCAAACCAATTAATTGATGGGCCACTTAGAGATTTCATTCTTTAATGAGTGACGTTGAAAAGTATGTGTAGCGTAATGTTGGGGCGCAACGCAAATAATGGCGTATGCGGATGATATTATTATAGTATCGAGATCCCTAAGAGCAATGAAGGAGACATATAAAGAAATAAAAACCATAGCAAAAACACCTGGCTTAGAGATGAATGTAAATAAAACCAAAATGCTGATATAATCTAGAAGGAATCTAAGGCAAACTGGGGAAATTAACATGGAAGGGGACGGGATAGAAATAGTTGAAGACTTCATATATTTAGGATCGAAATTCCACAAAGATGGAGAGGAAAATCATGAAATAACGAGAAGAATAAAACTAGCGAATAATGCATATTTCTCGTTACTATCAGTTTTTAGATCAAAGGATATATATACACCNTTCTTAGTTTATAACTAAGTGGGGGTGCTAACCACTGGTGCTTTATTATGGATGTGAGGGTTGGACGCTAAACAAGAAAGAGGAATCAGTCATCAATTCTTTCGGGAGGAAAATCCTAAGACGAATGTATGTACCAATGAAAGAGAATGGGATATGGAGAATAAGATATAACAAAGAGTTATACAAATTATATAAGGAGCCAGAGATCTCAGTGACGATAAAGCTTAAAAGATTGCAATAGGCTGGGCATGTACAGAGAATGAATAAGGAGCGTATCCCAAAGAAAATATTATACAGTACAATAGGTGGTAGGAGACGTGCGGGGAAACCAAGAATTAGATGGATTGATGCGGTGGAAGAAGATGCAAAGTAGTTAATGGGCGTAAGAAACTGGAAGAGTGCAGAGCAGGATAGAGAGGAATGGAGGGGCTTGATAAGGGAGGCCAAGGCCCGACATCGGGCTGTTGCGCCAAAGAAGAAGAATGTTGGGGAGTGAAGAAAGCTGTCTTCTGGGATTTGGCACCGTGTATATGTTGGGGAGTGTTCAGATATTTAATCTGTTAAATCAGTGTCTTCGTGCCTACGAAAGCAGAAGTGCTCATGTCTGTTGAGTGGGCAACGCACCACGATTATATTCAATAAAAACGCAAATAGGACTTTTGCACGATTTTAACCAAGAACTGAAATATACTGGCAACGCTTTGTATAACTTCACACCTAACGTAAACTGTCAAGAAAATCCATTCGTCCAATAGATTGTTAAAGAGGTGACACTACACAGTTGTTTTCGGGAGATGCACGGTTCGAATCTCGATCGCGACACCGGTTATCTTCACTGAGGGTTTTCGTGGAATTGCAGTCACTCCAGGCAAATGTCGGGTTAATACCTCCATCGCATCAGTGTCTCTCCCATCCACATCATTTCCACATTAAGATTCATTCAGCATCCTAGTCTCGTCACCGAACTCGCCGCAAAATAACTGACTGAAGGTCCACTCAATGTGAACGAAGTAGTTGCACGTGGGCAGACACCCATACACGATGCCGCTGTTTCATGTACTTATTCCGAAGGCGTACCGTAAAATCCGCCTAAATCAGTCGCGCTCGGTCGCGTTCACATGGAATTGGTGCTGGGTACGACGTGTCCTTCTCGCAACAGAGACTGCGTCTTTCAGCTGACCCGGAATTCGAGGCCTCACCGGAACTGCGTTACATATGAGGATATCACAGAGATGACTATGAAGAGTAACGCGTGACGTCGTGCAGTCTGGTTGACGTTCGCCTACTCCTCGGAAGAAGGTACTGCCTCCATCTTCTGGATCAAAGATTAAGGTGAGTAAAAATGTATTACATGCTTGTACTTCAGGATCCATTGTTAATGCACTTTCACGTCTATATTCAGATCTGCCAGCTCGTC